ATATCCGCGAAAGCCACTATAGTGGCGCGTAGTATCTAAAAGGTTAATATAATTTTTAATCATCTAAAGTTTTTTCAATAAGTGGAAAAAAAAAATATGTTTATGTGTGGGACATAAATATTGATCAATATCAATAATTGACCTTTTTCATGAATCACATATCCAAAATCAAGCATATCTAATAAAAAGAAAATTAGAAAAGAATTTGCAAAATTCGCGATATATTGTACCGTCTATTATTTCTACTTATTTAAATATTTATCCCTTTTCTGACGATAAGCTATTAGTACACTCCCAATAAAATAATCGTCATACTAAATTTACAATTTACGCATAACAAAAAAAAATTGGCTTAAATTTTCGAAACTCCCATTATGCTCGTGCATTAACTATGCTCGATGAAAATAATAAAATTAATCCAGTTATAAATATTATACCATTAAATTATTTATCAAATATTATAAACAATTTATTATCTCTTTTTTAATATCAACATTAATCATAAATCATTATCAGTGAATGACAGATACAGTGAAACAATATAAAAAAAATTATATTTTGTTTTTTTAAAATAATCTTAAAATAATTTCTTTTACTATCAATGTAAATTAATATTTTTTATAAATATTTTGAAAACAGAAATAATGCTGTTGCAAAAAATTATGAACTATTAATACTGTAACGTGATTTTTAAGTATTGCCAAGAGCAGAATTTTCGCTTTGTAACTTGTTATATTAAAAACTTTAAATCTTTTTTTTATTATTTGATTATACGTTTCATTATATTAATATATTCTTATTTATCCACTGTCCGCGAAATACTCATCTAAAAATGATATAAGGCTTTAATAATAAACGGAGAAGATAAAAAGTAAATGAAGTAAGATGAATGACAAGAAAGATAAATCTCGATATGATTTCTATGATTTACTACTAAATAATAAGAAAAAAATAATGAGTCCAATTGTATTGTAATAACTAAATGTACTTTACGTATAAAATATAACGTAAAGTTTTAATTTTTCCTTATCATAATTTACATTAAGTTTTATGTTTCCGTTTAAATAAAAGCCGATCTAGTATATGCTCGTTTATGGGTTTCTAATTATACGTCATATCATAGATTAGGGTATATTAAGAAAATAACACGTCAATGGTTTAGGGCTATGAAACAATAATGTTAAAAAAAATAATATTTCTTAATCGGTGAATAATTTTAAATCGAGAAGAAAATTAAAAAACTTTTGCAGATGTTTACTTGGAAGGTCGTGTGTATGGAGCGCTGCGATATCGCGAACTCGAGCCTGACGTTGTTGTAGTCTTGTATGACTTCCATGCGCGGCTTGTTGTATCCTCTGCGAATTTTACGGATTTATGTACTTCAATTATTAATAGATTTTATATCGGGGGGAATTCATTATTTTAACAAAAATATCCCGTAGAGGTATTGATTATACATTTATCCACGATCATCCACATTTTAATTTTAAATTTTTCTTTATGCGTTTCATCAATTTTTATTAAAATGTTAAAGTTCTTTTCATTTATTTTTCATTGTTAACGTATTGACCAATACGTATATTGATAATTGTGATTTTATAAGGATCAATCATTAATTTTATTAAGGCAACTATCAACGATTACTATTTTTATAAGTATTTTCCATAGTTCATCAACTTTACGCTGATCACCTAAATGATGCTTCATCAAAGATAAAAAAAAAATAAAAGCATGAAGATATAATCGGAGAGTTTAATATAAGAGAAATATATTCTTACCTGGATACTCTGGCATTTCGTAATAATCATGTGATGTATGTGGCACAGGTTCTTCTTCGTATTCATAGGTAGTATATCTCGAAGTAGGATACATGTCGTCACTGAATGATATTAAAACAAAACAAAAACAAAACCTTTATCGATCGTTTTTTGAAAGAAAAATTATTCGCGGAACTACCGATAATAGTTTTTATTAAACTTTTTTTTATAAAAAACACATTTATTCATCGCATTAAAAGAGAAATCTTTGAATAAATGCAAGGAGTATATTGAAAATCACGATACAAGTTGAAAGAACTTGATTCCTCGTACAAAAGTAAATGGAAAATTTAGAATGACAATATTTTATACGAGGCTTTGTTTTCAAAAAAATCAACTATGAAATTTTGTCAAGTACGCAAATGGGTTTCTTCATATTTACAAACAATATCGTGACTTCCTATAGATTGCTTACTATACTAAATTCAAATAATACATTTATTTATTTAAATTATAAATTGTTGTAATTTCTTTCCATTTTATCTTAAACAAAATGTAGCTTGTTACAAATTACAGAAGCATGAATCGCTGATATCTTTCAAGTCTTCGCTTCTTCAAGCATCAATATAATTTTATGTCTTTATTCATCTATTCATATTCATGAATACAAATAAAACATCCAAGTATAAAAAAACCTGTTCAATCAATTCTTATTGCCTATCAAATTCATGCATATTTGACGGACTTTCATAGCTGATTTTCTCGAATATAAAGAACTTTGTTTTTCCAAAATAACTGACCTGTAAAATGACTAACCCTGTACATATCTAGAGAGTATAAGATAAACTGCTGGATCTAGCAAAATACCTGAACTAAATTAGATAAAATGAACACAGTGGATTCTAAAATAATTTTCGCTTGGAAAATTATCTTCGGGTTCTGATCATGAACTGTACATACCTTGCAGTCGACGTATAATGACGATCTGCATATCGAGTATTTGTTGTCGAAGATGGATGATATTCATAATCATGTGTTCCTACGCGATTATTTAAAGGCGGAGTTGGAGTCTCATAGCTTTAAAAAGAAATATATTTTTAAACGTTTCCATTACTATTTATTAGAAATAATGTACATGTTAACATTTACCCATAACTCTGATCCATGGCAGCTCGTGCACGGTCTAATATTGAAAAAATTTTAGTCTTTGCAGGCATTGGTCGAGAGATGGGTCCACGATTAGAGGGTGGAGGAAGAACAGGCGCTGAAACTGATTGAAAATCTTACAAAATTTTTGGTTAACAGTAAGTCTCCATCTTAAGGATGTGAGAAATGTTAATAAATGTAATATCTTTTATTAGAAACAACAAACCTCTTGATGATCTTGGCAGCGTTGGCCTGGAAGTAGGTCTAAGAATACCACTTGCTGCAGGAGGAACACCTCTAATAGAAGGTCTTCTATCTTCTGCGACTGTTGAATCATCGGCCATGCTAAGTTCCATTTCTCGCATTTGTTCTTGCCGTATATTGTCGTTATTATCTGGAATTAAATACTTGCGAACCTCTGCAAGTGCAAATGCTATACGAGCATATGCTTCAGCTGGTGGTGCTAATGCTGTTATTTCTACATGTAAGTCATCCGACAGATGAGCATATTTTGGATCCAAGGACATACGACATTCTTCTTCCTAGAATAAATCATTGCGCTTTTAATTTATTTAACAATAAACAGTAATAATAAGTATCATCGTTATTAAAATATTTTAAGTAAGTGCAAATATAATCATTTGAGTGTGATGTAAGTAAGCAAGTATACCTTCTGTCGATCTTTCATTGACCCTCTTCCTAAAACTGCCATCTTGCACAGTGTTTCTTCTTGTAAACGTTTCATAGAATTTCCCTTTGGTCCCAATAGTTTTCCGACAAAATTAAACTACAGATAAAATGCAATAACATGTTAATAGAGAATTTATTTTGTAAATGTTATCTAGCTCAAAACATATTGATACGATATAATCCACCTTTGGATGTTCACGAACAGGAACCAAGACTTTAACAGAAATGCGTATTGGTTTCTCACGATAAATATCTACATATTTTGGATCTCTTAATGGCTTTCCAATAGCTTGAGTTTTTTGTATTTCTAAAAATGAACAAAAAACGTTTTATCAAATTCTAATTTCTATGTAATCAGTCTATGTGAAACACTTTCCAAAACAGTTTGAATAAATGAATTCTTACCTTGATCAATCAAGCGAGTTGCATTGGGCCATTTTTGCGAATCCAATTCGACTTTTTCTTGCAAAAGTTCTCTTACATATTCCCCGGCCTTATCAACTTGATGATCCTTTTCTTCTCGGTCTTTTTTCATCGACAAATTAGAATTATTTTCTGGGGATTCCTCTCGATCATGCTGATAATCTCCATTACTTGACCTATCTGTCATTATTCTATATCGTAGAAAATATAGAATAAAATAATGCTCTTAATTTCTTTCAGTATGATACGAGATTAATAATCACGAATTGTGAAAGATTTATGCGTAAAACAACAATAACACAATGGCTGTCTCAGGGTGATCAAACTTAACACATTCAATACCACTCAACACACTTCTGTATAGACATAATGCGCTTGCGCACTTTCTAACCCAACACTTAATTTTTTACTTCTCTTTCGTATAATACGCTACAATCATTTTCTAACTTATATACTTATATATGAAATTTACTGTTAAAGGGCATAAAAAATATTACTAAGCATTTAAAAAAATTGGACACGTAATTAAATCTTTCGCATGAATTTGTCTATTGGTGTAACAAAAGATTTCTTCCTAAAGGTTCATGTGGATACGTCGACATTTAACCAATCAAATCAAGAAACAGTTTCTATTTAGTTCATTCTTTTCATTTGGTTGCACTGTTTACAAAACTTCTATTAATGAGTACAGTACCGTAATCTCACCTGCCGTGTACATTCATAAGTTTTACATTTCTTTTGCGGTTTCATGTTACGCGATTACATGCATGAGTTCATAACCTTACGAAATTTCATGATAACGTTTTGTACCAGACGGTGAATAATTAAAGGCTTAAGGTGTATCAAAAGATCATTTAAAAATGATTGAAAAATTATCAGAAACAATTAATTTTTCGAAAGAAGAAGAAATTATTTTAGAATTATGGCAGAAATTGGATGTATTCCAAAATAGTTTAAAAATGTCAAAAGGTAAGCCGAAATATTCATTTTATGATGGTCCACCTTTTGCAACTGGTTTACCTCATTATGGACATATACTTGCTGGAACAATAAAGGATATTATAACAAGGTATGCTCATCAATGTGGACGTTACGTTGAAAGGAGATTCGGATGGGATACACATGGTTTACCCGTTGAATTTGAAATAGATAAAGCATTGAATATCAAAAGTCCAGATGATGTTGCTAAAATTGGTATTGAAAATTATAATAAGGAATGCAGAAATATTGTAATGAGATATGCTACAGAATGGGAGAAAATAGTTGGTAGAATTGGTAGATGGATAGATTTTAAAAATGATTATAAAACATTGTATCCATGGTACATGGAGTCTATATGGTGGGTTTTTAAGGAATTGTACAACAAAGGATTTGTTTACCAAGGTGTCAAAGTAATGCCATATTCTACCGCATGCAATACACCTCTGTCGAACTTTGAATCTGGACAAAATTATAAAGATGTTGTAGATCCATCTGTAGTAGTTGCATTTCCTTTAATAGATGAACCGGGTGTATCTATTCTAGCATGGACAACTACTCCTTGGACTTTACCTAGTAATCTGGCATTGTGTTGTAATCCTGCTTTTGAATATATAGAAGTTAAGGATAATAAATCTAATAATATTTATATTTTATTAGAATCTTCTTTAAATCTTATTTATAAATCTAAAGATCTTTATACTGTATGTGGGAAAAGAAAAGGATCAGATTTAAAAGGAAAACAATATCAACCACTTTTTCCATACTTTGTTCGATTACAAGAAAAAGGTGCTTTTGTAATATTAAATGATAATTATGTTACTTCAGAAAGTGGAACTGGAATTGTACATCAATCACCTTATTTTGGAGAAGACGATTACAGATGTTGTTTAAATGCAGGCGTTATAACGAAAGACCAAGAAATTATATGTCCTATTGATAGTAACGGTTGCTTTACAGATCCAGTTCATGATTTTAAAGGAAAATATGTAAAAGATGCAGATAAGGATATTATAAAATATATTCAAGCTATTAACAGACTAGTTCATAGTGTTCCAGTTAAACACAGTTATCCATATTGTTGGCGATCTGATACACCATTAATTTATAAAGCTGTTCCATCATGGTTTATTAGGGTCGAAGCAATAAAAGACAAATTATTAGTAGCCAATGCTGATACTCACTGGGTACCAGATTATGTCAAAGATAAGAGATTTGGAAATTGGTTGCGAGATGCTCGAGATTGGGCAATTAGTAGAAATAGATATTGGGGTAATCCTATACCTTTATGGATTTCTGAAGACGGTCAAGAAGTTGTATGTATTGGAAGTATTGAAGAATTGGAGAAATTAACTGGTACAAAAGTGTCTGATATTCATAGAGAAAATATAGACAATTTGACTATTCCATCTGTACGGCCAGGACATCCACCATTACGACGTGTACCAGAAGTATTTGATTGTTGGTTTGAATCTGGTTCAATGCCATATGCACAAATGCATTATCCATTTAAAGATCCAAAGAACTTTGAAGAAAGTTTTCCTGCAGACTTCATAGCGGAAGGCATTGATCAAACTCGAGGCTGGTTCTATACCCTTCTTGTTATATCTACTGCACTTTTTGGTATAGCACCATTTAAAAATCTTGTTGCCAGTGGTTTAATTTTAGCATCTGATGGACAAAAGATGTCTAAACGTAAGAAGAATTATCCTGATCCCATTGAAGTTGTTAACAAGTATGGCGCAGATGCTCTCAGATTGTACTTAATCAATTCACCCGTTGTTAGAGCAGAAAATTTAAGATTCAAAGAAGAAGGTGTCAGAGATATAGTAAAAGATGTGCTTCTTCCTTGGTATAATGCATTTAGATTTTTAATGCAAAATATTGAAAGATTTGAAAGAGAGGAAAAAACTAAATTTGTGTATAAGGATATATCTAATAGTTGTTCTAACAACATAATGGATAAGTGGATAATATCTTTCACGCAAACACTACTGAAATTTCTTCAACAAGAAATGCGAGCATATAGACTATATACTGTAGTTCCTCGTTTAATTAAATACATAGATAATCTTACAAATTGGTATGTTAGAATGAATAGAAGGCGAATAAAAGGTGAAAGTGGTACTATTGATTGTCAAAATGCATTAAATACTTTATATTGTGTACTTTACACAATGGTGAAAATTAATGCACCTTTCACTCCATTTTTAACAGAGTTTATGTTTCAACGTTTGTCAAAACTGCTTCCACCCGATTCTAATGCTAATATGGATAGTGTTCATTATCAAATGATTCCTAATCCTTATATTCATTTAATTGATGAAAGTATTGAAAAATCAGTATCCTATATGCAAACTATTATTGAGTTAGGCAGAATTGTAAGAGATAGAAAAACTATTCCTGTTAAATATCCTTTACCAAATATTGTTGTTATCCATCAAGATAGCAATGTTTTGAAAGATATTGTTTCATTAAGATCATATATACTTGAAGAATTAAATGTAAAAGAATTAATAATCACAACAGATAAAGAAAAATATGGAGTAACTTTACGTGCCGAACCTGATCATAAAGTATTAGGTGCCCGTTTAAAAGGAGAGTTTAAATCAATTACACAAGCTATTAAAGAATTGTCAGATGAACAGCTACAACAGTTTGTAGCTTCGAAGGAAATTACAATACAAGGTCATAAGCTTGGCGAGGGTGATTTACGCTTGATGTTTAATTTCACTGGTCCAATGGCTGAAGAACTTTCTAAACAATATGAGGCCCACAGTGAAGGAAATATATTAATTCTTCTAGGAATTACACCCGATGAAAGTATGCAAAATGAAGGAGTAGCAAGAGAAATAATTAATAGGGTACAGAAATTAAGAAAGAAAGCTCAATTGGTGCCATCCGATGAAGCCATTGTTTATTATGAAATTCCAGATGTAAATAGTAATTTAGCTAAAGTTATTCTCAGCCATAAAGAGTTTATTGAAAGTGCAACTAAAACTCCTCAAAAATATATATCTGAATTTTCAAATAATAATAATATTATTCTGGAAGAAATGCAAAACGTTAAAGGCGTAGATATGAAACTTATACTTGTTAAGAGTAAAATAGAAAGCACATGTAAAAATAATACAACAGATGTTGAACCATTTTCAAAATACGCTAATGTCGAATTAATTAATATAAAACCAAGATTTGGTGCTACCAATTCTGCAGGTACAATTTTGTTAGAAGTAGAAACAGTTGGAACTACAACTTTAATTTCGTATGAACAATTAAAACAAAATATAGATATTATATTTGGAATTTATGGAGTAACTTATGACCTATACGTTGATGGAAAGTTACTTACAAACAATACAGATATTGCTTCATTAAATAAAAAAACTATTCAAGTAGTTAAAATTGGCTCTCCAGTAAATCATTCAATAGTTGACTGTAAAGCTCCTAAATGTCATTTCCTTAATGTAATTAATGATACAAGAAAAGCTACTATACTTTTAGAAAATCCTCAGGGTAACTTTACATTGAATATGGTTACATTGAAACAATATATACAAGCTTTATTTAAATCAAATGATAATCTATTTACACTTCCAAATGTATCGTCAATATTAGAGTTACATACTAAAACAATAAATATTAGTCATCCTACTTAAAAATAATTTTACTTGAAAAGGTACAAATGATATAAATTATTCAACTATTTGATTTATTTAACAAAAAATATTGTTATCATTTAAAAAATTATAACCAATTTATTTATATTTATATATAATTATCATTTCGCATCATATTTTTTCTATTCTTTTCAAATAATTAAAAAATGATAATTGCCTATTTTATTATATACCATCTGTTGTCATACATTATCATGTATTTATTCTATTCACAAAACTATTTATGTAATACTTTGTAACACATAGTAAGATAAGAAAAAAATAATTTCTTTATAAGGAAGAGCATGAATAAATAAACAAGGCATTAATAATATGCGAGTAATTAATTTTAAATCCGTAACATTTTAATTTACGAAATAAATAAACCTTTGTTCGTATCATATTGAATAATAACATTTTTCAATTTACAGCACATGAATCTAAAAAAGATGTATAAAGTTTTGTATAGATTTTTGTTATGTTTTAATAACACAGTCCAATAATATAAGAAATAATTACATAATTGATAACTTTATTTTTTAATAGTTTACAAAATTATAATAGAATCATTATATCGTGTATTATTTTCTTATTATAAATTTTTTCCAATAAACAATTATACATATTTCGCTTTAATTGCATCAATATTAAGTCAAAATATGTCATAACAGAAAAAATATTTGACTGTATTAAACACAAAAAGAAAATATTTCATATATATCATGTAATATATTTTAATATGTAAATATATCATCTTCATTTTTAGAAAGTGAGAAATAACTAAAAACTTACTGTTAAAATCAGGATTATCGTAATTTTGTTATTTCTTTTGTAATAAAAGAATAGTACTATTATATTAGTTGGAATGTGATTATAACTCATGTTTAAAAAGCAAAATGAAATATATCTTAATCATTTCACTAATAAAGGGTCTTATTACATGCATTTGGGTTACTTCAACACTTGCAAATATATTCGCATTAGAAATAACTGCAACATAAGATTAATAGATATGCTTTTTTAATGCTCATACTTAACTGTGATATATGATAAGAATATGTATATTTTCTAATTTATTTTTTTTCTATAATTGTATTATTAATACATTTATATTAATACATTTATTAATAACACATTTAATGGTCATTAACAAGCCAAATGCTTGTAATATATATATAATTTTCTATAAATGTATTTATAAATTAAAAATATTTTTTGAAAAATGATAATCCAATATATCTGATAAGTATATTAAAAATAATTATTATATTAATAAATACATAACAGTAAATAAAGAAATAATAACATAAAGCACCTGTATACAACCATACTCTATTTTCTTGGTTGCCGATCTTCTTCATAAAATAATCAATATTTTTTATTTATTTAAATTTTTGAACTTTTTGTTTTTTCTGTAGAGATTATCAGTAATCATTAAAGTTGATAAATAATTCAATATAGATTTCATATCTTACTACATATCATACATATATATTAATCACTTGTTTGAGTTTTTATTCCGTTTTTTTTTCAGCAAAGTTACTTGCAAGCTATTAGAAAAATCACATTTTTTTTATATGTTTATTTGTTATACCGATGATGTTTCTGCATAAATCAATAAGTAATACGAGTGCTGAAAGTCCATTCTTGTTACTTATCAATAATAATTATGATCAGTAAAATTTGTTTGCACAATTATCTGAATAATAAGGTAGTAATATCAATTCACTCGATGTTTCTAATGCTATCTTGATCAGGAAAAAAATTGCTAAACAAAGGAACTGTAAATATTGCAGTGAGTGCATATAATACAATTGTAGCCGTCGCAGTAAAAAATTGCGCATAATGATAACGAGAATACCAAGCAAGACCCAAAATAAGAGCCAAAATGCTCATTAAGAGCCTGCTTAAATCCCATTCATTATGTACTGAGCTGATTCCATTACCCGCAGGGAGATCTTGAAAAGTCTGTGTATTAAAATAAATTGATGAATCATCCAATGTATGAGGCCGTGATGATGTTGTAGCTGGCCGTGGTTGATGTACTAAACAATGAACTACACAATGATTGTAAAGACCACACCGTTCTAGTGTTTGACTATCTGGTTGAAGCACTTGACCTTTAAATACTAAGCGCACCAATTTTTGCGAATCAAGTTCTACTTGAAAATGTCGCCTGAAAAATATAACGAATAAACAAAGATTTTTCTTTTTTCAGCATATTCGCTTATAATTATTATTACAAATAAATACGATGTACTTTTTGAAGTCTCCAAGCATTTCCTTAAGACTTCCTGTCACGACTTTTTGATCGTCATTTATGAATTTTAGTTTTATACTAATTTCATTAGCATTGGCAGTTGACAAATTGTCAGATGGACATTCTGTACTAGTACACACCGACTCTGCTATGTTAGATTCACCTGTAGAACTTTCCTTATTAGGTTTTTCTAATGCTATTGTCTCTTCATTATTAAAGGAATCCATAGTTTCAATGAGAATCTCTTCAGAAGTTGTAGGTTCTGGTACTCTACGTAATGCTGGAGTAGTAGCATCTAATATAAATAAATAACATTTTTTTAAATAATAAATTTAATATACATATTGCGCTGGCATATAACTGATATTTAATACCTCCAACAGATGTTTCTGGACAGCTTGATTCTGAATGATTATTTTCAGTAGTATTAGTTTCTATAGAATCTTCTTCTGATATTTCCATATTACGAGATTGATTAAGAGTATTGGTGTTTTGACTTGCTCTTAGTTCTGTAATGCTTGTGCGTGTTCGATGTTGCAATATAAGTACTGTGCGTATTATTGGTTGATCAGCAATATTTGTAGAACACCATGCAAACCAAGCCACCAATATGATACTCAAAACAATAAAAAAATCTGTAACTTCATCGCCAACACCTTCTATTAAAGACATTTTGTTTAATTTAATCTGTAAGAAACCTATAAAAAATATAATTTATAAGTATTATAATTTATCAATAAAATTTCATTAAATATTTGCAATTAAAAAATTAAAGCAAAAAAGAAAAGTCGAATATGATTGTACGTTTAATACAATACAAAAAGCTACATCTATTTATCGATAATAATTAAAATAATTTATAAATAATGAAACGAACTTTCCATTAATTCAAGTCATTTTTTTTTCTTATGCAATGTAATTTCTATTAAAGGTTAAATGTCCTACGTAGAATTTTTATAAATCTCTGCAATATGGAAAAATATTAATAGAGAATTGCAAAGTAAATAAACGATTTCTACAAAAACTTTTCTTTAAAGAGACCAAATAAAAGTAAAATGAAGAAAATTTTTTAAATTTTAAATACCTACACGTTATAATAGTATTTTAAATTACATACTAAATTAACACTTTTTTTATCCTCGTTTAAGAGATTGTTTTTAATGCTATCAGAGTAAATAGAAAATACCTTTCTTGTATTAATTTATATAAATTATAACCAAATTAATACAATAAAAAAATATAGTTGACAAAACTATAAATATCGCATCCATAAACATATGTGCATGACGCAGTAGCTAATGACAAGCAGCGACATTATATTATTTAACAAACAAGCTCATGGCTGTATTGTTAATCATTATTAATACGACAAAGCAATAAACCTGTGAAATGCGTATGTAGCATAAGGATAACAGCGTAAACTTACGTATCTATTTACAAACTGTTTAAATAATTATTTTAGGAAATAAGTAATCATCTTCAACAATGTGTTTATATGTTTGATAATTTATATATTTGAAGATTGGTACTTATTTAACAAATAATATACTAGAGGCATTGGAAAGGAAAATACGTATGCGAATATATTAACTGTATATACTCGCGGCATCGATATCTTAGCTTACTTTTCATTTGTGCAAAACATGTAGTGCTTTAACTAAAGTTACTAGAAAAATAAATTCGAGAAATTATTTTCTATTACCGATTTTAATAATATAAATCAATTACTTTATTACTGCATAATTATCTTTATTTTTTTTTTTTTTTTTTTTTTTTAAATAAACCACGAAGTTTAATTAAAGGAACAATAATAATGCTCCGTCTATTTTATTTGAATAATACATACATTATATTATATAATGTAACGTTTTTAAACGCAACTGTTTCTATCTGGATAAATATCGTTGGTAATTTGATACCAAATGAAAGATTATATCTTAAATAATTTGTCAACGTAGGACAATACAATCGTTATTTATAAATATGAATATTTTGTAAAACATCTATTTTTTAAATATTAAATGATTTCGAATACAAACGAACTGTAATGTGAACTTTAATTAAGTGTAAGTTTAAATTAAGATTGTTATTGGTTTTATATTAATTTACACTATCTAAAAAGTGCTTATATAGAAAATATTTGTATTATAATTTATAATACAATAGGATAGTAATAAATTATATTTTATTATTATCTAATACTTTTGTTTTTTTAATTGTGTAACATATAATTACCTGATAAATATTTGTATGATATTTCGATAATTACGAATTGGAGCAGTTCATGCAGTAACTAAAGATAAATTCTACGAATAAAAAAGTGAGATTTAAAATGTCATGCTATTTTTTGTTATTTACAAAGATATTTCTTTTCTATTAATTAATAGTGGAAAAAACAAAGAATAGAAATAACTTTTTCTTAACACAGTTCTAAACAAATTGAATTGAAGATAAGAGCTAGTACCAGTTTGTCCATCAACGTCATAGGTAGAGGTAACAACCAATACAATAGTGCCAATATTAAGAAACCCAGGGATTTCGATTTATAGTCTTATTCTCATGTAACTACATGACAATTGCGTGAAATATTCTCGATGAAAAAATAATTCGGTGATACTATCCTCTTCGACACGAAGTACAAACTATTATAATTTCCTCTTTCCATTCCTCCATACTTTGGATGGTGATCAATTGAAGTTTCGTTTTAACAAATTCGAGTAGTTCTAAAGTATTATTAATAAATAAGTGATATTGTCTAAGTGTATCATAAAAATTAATTAAGTTTAGATATATAGACGATATTTATCGTATTACTTATTGATATAACCGTACTTATTTAGCAACCATTTTTCAACAGTCTGCCACGTTTATAACGCTTAACGTTTAGGTATACTTTTAGGTGTGTGTGTACGTTTTTTTGATTTAAGTTGATATTTAGAATAGAAATGAATGAATAATTGGATGATGCAATAGTTGTAATATATTAAATTACATACAATTATTGATTATTTATTAAAAATAACAATAAATTTCACATTTATTTATTTAACTAAATACTTATTTATTAAAGCAACGTATATATTTTTGTACTGATTTTTAAATTTAAATTAATATTATTTGTATCTTTTAGGATAGAAAAAAGAAACATCATGGTGAATGTCAATCCAAGAGTTTTCTTTGACATAGAAGTAGGCGGTCTACCTATGGGTCGCATAATTTTTGAACTCTTTGCGGATGTATGTCCCATGACATGTGAAAATTTTCGTGCCCTATCTACGGGTGAAATGGGAGTCGGACAAACAACTGGGAAACCGTTGCATTATAAAGGAATTGTATTTCATAGAGTTGTAAAAGATTTTATGATTCAAGGTGGTGATTTTGTAGTAGGTAATGGAACTGGAGGAGAATCTATCTATGGTGGTACATTTGCAGGTAAAAAAATAAATGAAATTTAATATATACAAGGTTATATGCTTGTCAACATGTTTTATATAATAATTTGAACCGTTCACAAGCCAAAACGATAACTTCTTTTAGAATATTATAGAATTTTAGTGTCTTATATAATAGATGTTGAATTGTTTTATATTAAAAATAAATTTCCTTATTAATTAGGCTTAACATCGCTAAATGACAACAATTAATATAATCATTGAATGATGAATGATACGAAATTTATACAATTTTTTCCAATTAAAAATAGATATTTTTATCTTTCACTTTCTCTTCCTCCCTCTTATTAATAATATTATTTTTACAGATGAAAATTTTATTTTGAAGCATAATAAATCATTTTTATTATCAATGGCTAATCGTGGTAAAGATACAAATGGATCACAATTTTTTATGTAAGTAAAAGTATTAATATTTGCATGTATATGTAATTCTCTTAATAGATTATTTCATTATAGCATACAAAATGGTATTGTAGACTATTCCTTTATTAGATACTACAATATGTCCTGTATATATAGTTAGTAAATCTAATTACTTCATATTTATAAATTATAGATATTACATAAATAATTTTAAAATTAACTATTCAATTACTAACAGTGTTTGTTGGTGAAGCTTTTCTTTTTGTGTAGTCTCATTCGTAATAATTTACTGAATATAAAAAAGTTGTTTTTATACGATGACGTATACTAAATTCAATCAAATAATTGAAAAAAGAAATATAATAATGTCTTTCTATATTGTTCTAATCCTATAAATGTTACCAAAAGAGTCACTTATACATATAGTGTATTCCTGTTTTTTATCTATTAAGATTGTTTTTGCATGTTACTATTAATATTAAGGAACAATTTCAATGGCAATTTATGATATTTTAAGTAAATGAAAAAAATATCATCTATGTTAGTTGATGGTGGTGATACCAGAGATCCAAAGGGAATTAAATTAAATACAAATAGTTGGGAAAATTGTTATAGTTATAAAAAGTAATGCCAAAAAATATAAAACAAATAAGAATAAAATGGATATTTATAATTTTAAGTTTTATCATATTACTTATTTAATTCCAATAAGAAATGTGGTATTTGAAACATTTCATTATTACACATAGGACTTGCAGAGAATCTTGAAAAGAATAGTGGTAACATTAAATGTGAAAGAATGAATAACTATAGCCATGTTTTTGTGTAGTCATGAGGGAAGGGTCTGCACACCACTACTACAACACAATGACCACTGAACGCTGGCTCTTTCTGTTCATCTCTCATCACCTTAATCATATTTTGTTGTTGTAGTACAACACAACCAGCGCCTCACCTCGACAAGTAAGTAAATAACAAAAGAAATGATTAAATTATTATACTGTATGGATTTTTAATGAACTTTTCATTAAATTAACAGTGTCCACGTCGTTTTTGGAGAAGTAGTGTCTGGCCAGGAAGTTGTTATGCACATTGAGGGATTACCGGTTGATCGTATGTCCCGTCCATTACAGGATGCTAAGGTTGTGAACTGTGGAGAATTAGTATTGAAAACTAAAAGTAAAGGTCAGTAATATAAATTTTTATCAAATTTCTAAATGTGTGTTATTTTTATGTATAGAAGATAATAACGAATTTTTAGTATAATAATCTTTTAATAAATTGATAATGTACATTTGCTTTTTTGTAGGAAAAAAACATGAATCAAAGCGTAGCTCTTCGGAATCAGATTCTGATTCCCATGTAGAGAAAAGCAAGAAAAAGAAAAACAAAAAGAGGTATAGAAAAATCGAATTAATTCTCTTTATTATTGTAACTTAAATAATTCTTCTATTTTTGTGTATCATTATATATTTACGCTTTAGTAAGAAAAGAGCTAAATCAGAAGATGGCGAAATCCATAATTCAAACGAAGACGAAAATGATAAGCCTCATCCACTTGTATCTGTTACAAAAATCGATCCCGATGAGATACCCGAGGTCCCTGCAAATAAATTTTTGTATAGAGCTGGACCTACCAACAATGCTAATCAAAAAGAATTTCGACAACATTTCGGCAGGGAACGCATAAGATTACGTAGAAAAACTGGACGTGTATTTAAAGGGCGTGGTGTATTTGTAGGTATCCCTGACTTTAAGCCTAAAAGTATTTTACAATAATTCACCTCGTGCCATTCTTTCTAATAATCTGTTTTATGCTACTAATCTATAAATTAGGGAAACGATCTATGGTTTCTTATTTGATGTCTATAATCATACAGATGAATGGGTGAATTTGTAAAAAGGAACAAAGTATTTGCTTTTCAAATGATTGAATATTTTTATATAAGGACTTAATGCCAATTCCATCATAAACATTAAATTAAAAAAATTAATAATTCATAAATTGTTACATCTAATTTTCACAAATTTCAGCGTTATCACACTCCTTCGCGAAGTCGCTCCAGAAGTGTAACTCCACCACATTGGAAACAAGCACAAAATCGTACGATCAAATTACACGAATTTCAGGTATGTCTCCAAACTGTGATATTTAATAAAGATTAATTATTACATTTAATCAAATTTTGTTTAGAAAATGGAAAAGGAACGATTAAAAAAGGAAGAAGAAGGAGGCGGCAAACCCGAAGGCGATAAAACAGATAAGTTTGAAGAACGAGTTGATAATGATAATTACTTAATGGAAAAATTTGAAAGTAGCGCGTGTATACCCGAACATTTAGAAAATAAAGAAAATGATCAAGTGGAAGAAAAGAACGCTACGAATGAAAATGTCCAAGAAAACGAGGATAATGTAAATAAAAATGTGGATATTAATGAATTAACATCAACCGATAAACTAGATACGAAACGTAAAAATGAAAAATCTATGAAACATGAAACTAGTCGGTTCGATAGATACGATTCAAGAGATAGAAGTAAGAGACGCGGTAGTAGACGATCTAGATCAAGAGGTCGTCAAAGATCAAGAGATAGAGATTATGATCGTAGATCTAGCCGCGATAGAAGAAGCAGAAGAAATTATTCTCCTCGTAGACGTGATTCATACAGAACTAACAGATTTGGCAGAGATAATTATAGATATTATGATAGACGTAATGATTACAGAAGAGGTACGTCTAATGCGCAACATGACACAGATGGAAATACATCTTATTTTAATAGAGATAAACCAAAGAAAAATCAGAATGTTTCTGATTCTGTGGATCAACCAAAATTTAAACGACATTCACGTTCAAGCAGTTCCAGTAGTCAGCATACTAAAGAATAAATCATTTTTCTTTTTAATCTCTTTTCACACTGGCTCAAAAACGAATACAAAATAATAGTACGAGGGGGAGAGCTATATATCTCTTCATAAAAATAAATCTTATACTATAATGTTTTCTTAATTCTGTATTTGTAATAAGTCATGCACATTTTTTCGTCTGGATCTTGGTAAATTACATAATAAAAATAAGTACTATTTTTTGGCAAGTTACTAGGTTTTTGTGTATTTATTTAAAATCCTCACTTTGACACTTATTTCATTTGTTGTTATTATAAATTAAATTAATAAAACATTATATTCTTTCCTTATGTTATAAATGTTGTGAGAAAACCGTTGAAAGGATAAAATAATAAATGTTAATATTTTTAATAGAATTATTTGTATTCATACATTAAACATGATTCATAATTGCCATTACTAATAAATTTTCAACTTTTTTTTTTTATAATGCTTTATTGCATATTCTTATAAGCAGAGAGATTCCTAAAAATAATTATTAATTATGTACAGATCATCTGATTTTGAGCATTGACTAATAATGCAATATGTAATATCCTATAATTATTACATATTTACAGRTTAAGAATATCTATTGTAAAAGAAGCGATTCGTRTAATAGTAGCACTATGCAGCACTTTAATCAGCAAATCATTTATATATTTATATATGTTGTCATCTCCTTGCTATCATATTCTTGCTATCGTAAAAATACCGTATACACACACTGATCGCTAAGTTTTATGTAAGGTATCATTCTTATAATATTCCTCTTCTGACATATTTTTATATATTTCTAATTATAATTTAAATTTTACGTTACATTTTTTCCATTAAATCATTAATATTAAGCAAATTATTATTGCGCAAACAAATATTTATAGTAATCATTATTCATTGTTACATTATCTCTTTCCTGCATCTTACAATTAAACAAAAAGCYTATTCAATTATAAATTATGATTAAATTCTTTTATTATATAATAAAAATTAAACAATTCTTAACAATCCGATATAAGACACAATATTAAATTAATAAGTGAATAAACAACAACATTTCTCAGTAAATCTTCAAAATACAAAATTAATAAGAGAAACTTTTTAAATATATCAATTCTCTTAAACAAGTTATACTATACCTTCAACCATAGAAATTATATTTAAATTATCAAATTATTTTGTCGCATATCCGATATAAAATCATATATTTTGACAGTACCAATTATAACGCAAATAATTATAAAAATAATATATAAAAAAAGACGTGAATTTTTAATTTTATAATAATTATAACACTACACTTCAGAATGTATTATTTCTTATGTTTCACTCATTTGGACATATTGAGTGATTTATATTTTTTATAATGTTATAAACGAATACAAATTGTCAGACAGATCCAGATTTCAATRATATAAGTCAAAAAATATGCATTGCATTTAGAAAAATATAATGTAATAAATTTAGCTATGAATATTATAACCAAGAAGATGYAAATATAAGTCTTGTGAATTACACGTTTCATAATTTGTTTGCACAAATAATTATTCGGACAAATTTTAATATTTATCTTCCTTTCTAAATTGCTATTGTCACTTAAAATTTTATTATTCATCTTCTATAAAGTACAAACATTAGATGCTAGATAAGTACTCTCCTCTTATTAAGACGCAATATTTATATGTATTTAAATAAAATATACAACAATGTTCGATTTCAAACATACGTCTTCGATATAATTATTCAAGAATTGTGACTATAGACAATTTAGTTCAGTTTCCATTGAAGGATAATACTTTCATTCATTGTCATGCCTACTTATCAATTGCATCATAATAAATATAATATTCGTAAAGTATTTGAACAACCTGTTTATCCTTTAAGCGCTGTTATCGTTAACGAGAGGTTACGTAATAATAAACAAGTTACATGAGTCTTCGCTTCATTTCAAATTTATGAGCAATCAAGTACTACGGAAGGTCACAGAGAATCACGATGCCAGACCCACGTTTTTTTCGTATGATCAAATCTGTGAGCTAGCCATTGCTGTTCCAATAGTCGATACCTATCTTGGCTAAGATACAAAGGTTTACCTCGTCTAGAAAAATAAGAATATATTGTATTATATTAACTTGTTAAATAAACATCTCTTTCTTTCTCTCTCTCTCTATTTGTAAGTGTTAATCATAATCTATAAATGAGATTAATTTAACTTTATGTTATGACAATTATTAAAATAATTTACCCTAATACTTACTTTAGATCTCTGTCTTCTTCTGCAAACGCATCAAGATATAAAGATCCCCATGGACAAGCTCTTCGACCTCTAATTACAATAATATAAGTTGATGTTACTACTAAATATATACCAGTTCCGCCGCCACAGTCAATTGAATGCTATAAATAAATATTTAAATACATACATTTAAAAAATCATATCAAATATTATATAGTTATAAATTTAAAAGAAATATACCTGAACAGCTTCACACACATTCATTTGTTTACAACAGTTCTGCTTCAGACAAACAATAGCACCACATAATAAACAAATACTAATTTCCTGAGGAACTGAATGACATTGACGACATTGCCGTTCGTGATAATACTGAAAAATAGAAAAAAAATTTTTTAAATATTAATTTATGCATCCTCAATAACAAAAAATATTAATACAGCATATTATAAATGTATGTTATTATTTATTTACCGTAAAAATTTTTTCGTATTCTCTTGGAAGATTAAGTAGTTTTGGTATTTGCCAAGATATATGCTGTTCTTTTATTAAATTTTTAGCTGCACTACTTCTATTAACAAAAGCTAATAACTGATCGCACCAGAAACGAGGAACAGCAACACTTGCATCTATATCTTGCCAATTTAGTGCCACTGTTGAATTGAAACTATCCCAACCCATACCTTCTGTCACTAATTCTAAATAATACACTAATTTGACAAATTCTGTTTGGCGTGTCCTAACAAAGGGCAGTGGTTGTTCATATAGATGATAACGAAGTAAGGCTGCCACTCTTAAAAATGGTAAGCATAAAGATTGTATCTGAAAGAGCCAAGGAAAATATAATAATAAGAGCCAAATTCACATATGCTATTTTTGAATAATTTCAGAAAATTACCCGTCGTTCAATAAAATATGTTTTGACTCCGGTATAAGACACAGAAGATGAAGTTGATGGTTTATGAGAAGCTTCGTCTGTACGATAAAGGTCACTGTCACTAAAATATTCAATTACTCTGCATAATATAATCTCCAAAGAAGTAGCACTACATTCGCCACACTGGGCTCTTCTTAAAATTGCATTTCTTTTTGCTTGTGAAAAACCACAGCTTATCTGCACTATGACTTGATAGTACAGCAAGTTGTATACAACTTTTACAACGCTCGAAAAATAAGCTGAAAATTAATATATACATATACATATATATATATATATCATATAAGATCAAGAGTAATACAATATGGTTTTAGAAAACTTACCTTGATCCAAGTGCAGCGGCAGTAGCAATATAAATTGTATCAGAAGGGCAGTTGGATCTCTGAGTAACAATGGAACTTCTCTTTCATGTGGTGTTAAAGCAAGTGGTGCAGAAGGTTCTGCAGGTATGCCTGATAGTTGCTGCCAAGTATGATGTACTGGCCATGTTGTTAGTACTTTTGCATGCATCGCAAGAACGTGAAGGAGAGCAACTGCAATTACAATTAACGATTATTAAGAAAAATTCGAAATAACAAGTAATTGTATTAAACTTTCATATGGAGTTGTCATTAAAAAATGATGAATATTATCAAACAATCATACCAATACAGTCACGTTTTGGTATTAAGGGTATACAACTAGGCGGAGGAACATATAACGATCCACCACGCTGTACAAGTTCAACCTCAAAATTAGTTCTTGCTATAGAAGTTACAAAAAGGAACAAGCTTTGGTGACTAGGAGAACAGTTCTTTTGCTTATATTTTAAGTATGTGCAACTTGTCATATCTTCCATGGCTTTTCCCATTGCTACAGCTAAATTTGATGAGACCTAAAATTATGAAATAATTGTTAAAGATATTAAATCTATGGAAAAATTATATAACAGAGATTTATACTAAAATAACACTTACTGGATTTCGTTGTATCTCTTTTAAAAGGTTATTTAATTCTGAAAGTATAACTGACGGAGAGGCTTGATAAGATCGTACAACAGCTGCACACTCTCCTAATTGCGGTGATAATGGCAGTACAGAGTTAGCTAATTGTCGACAAAGCGGGCAAAGGTATTCGCCAGTATCAACTGCTAAACTTGGTTGTCTTTGTTGACTTTGTAATGATTGTAAATAAGATTTTAAACAATCTAAATGTAAGTGATGACCACATGTCTGTACATGAACACCTCCTTCCCAACCCAAATTAACAGATAGTAACCATGAAAACTGTAACATATAAATTAAATTAATATTAATTAAATCACAATATTTGTATAGTTTTTAAATATATGCGCGTCAAGAATAAATGACTTACCGTATCAAAATGTCCACTTAATTCATCTATTCTACGGTTAAAATGAGCACCACGTGTACCACCTTTTGGTATAGGTGGATCTTCATCAGATGTAGGCAAAGTAAGTCTGTCCGATTCTTCTCTTCCATGGCCAATAACACTAGTCGCCTACACAGTGAAATTATTAATAAATTTTTAAAAATCCTTTTTCATATTATATATACATTCAATAGTGAAAGATTTAATAAAAAACCTTTTATATCATACATTACCTGTACTAATACAACTAAACCCATAGGTTTATCTTCACTACTTGAAGTAGTTTGATTACATATTACACAATCATATTCCTTTTGCCTAGTTAATTTGGTTGTATCATCCTCTTGATCCCAATCCATTCCTGATTCACTTGCTTCATCTATATATTTAATATTAATTAAAGAAAGCAACAAATAAAATCATAGTAAAATTTGCTGCCTTTTATGAATAATAATTACAAAAAATATTCTTTCTTTACGTTTATAGAAGATAAATGTTACCTGTTTTCATTGCTTTTTCCATAAATTGCTTTTGTTTATTGGCAAATTCTGCCATAAGTTTTTGTTGCCTTTCTTTTGCTCTTTTACGCCTTTCTTCTCTTTCTCGATGTTCTCTTTCGCGTTGTTCATCCTCGCAATCTTGCTTGCGTGGCCATAATTTAT